ATCGTTGGAACAACTCAGTCATCCTTTTAATGCCTCTTTTGCAATAATTTCACAAATCAGTGCACTAATGAGATTGTCATTATACTTACAGCTGAGTGTAATTGTTTGTACTTTATTCAATTACTGGGTATGCAAGGTAAAAAAAACACTGGCATCTCTGTCTCTGCTCTTCTGATGCTCTAAAATCAGAAGTAATAAACTATTTTGTTTCCTGCTTATCTAATCCTGAGCAGAAACAGCGCGTCAGACGGTGGCTGAGATTAAATGGCTCGTTGAGACTCCTGCACTCGAAGGGTTGTGTGGTGATTAGCAAAGGGTTAAACTCTATACCCCGACCCCACCCTCCCCTCTCCGGCCCTGCAGGATGGTTTGGATTATCTCCCCCTCCCCGTTATCGGCAGCAGAGGGGGTCGCGCCTCCCCTGTAGCCGAGCTGGAGCTACAGATGGCGGAGGAAATTAGAGTCTGCACGCTATGATCAGGATCAGAGCTAAAACCCCAAAACAGCCGGGTTCCCCTCAGGTGCAGGTTTCTAATCATCCAGGGGGGGTCGGCTCTCTGTAAACTTTTCATTCTTCCACAGGTTGATGTTTCTCGCAGTGAAATTTTTAATTGCAGAACTTGTTGCATTGCTAATTTTCCCAGATCCGAGCGTTTTCTGCTTTAATGTTATCTTACAAGCAGGCATCGATTACAGCGATGCCACAGCGAGACAACAGACTCCGAGTGTCTGCCAATCCACAACAAACGCAGTAAGCCAATTAGAGATAACTATCGTGGAACTTAATCGAATTAGCATTGCTCATTTGCCATCCTTCTCTTTCCATTCCACAATCCACACGACCCATCCCATCCGCCCCTCCCGTTTACACTCTGTTACAGCAGGCAGGCAGGCGGCAGGCAGGCGGCCCACCAACCGAGCCAAGAAATTAAAGTTTAAAAATGTGCAGAAGAGACTTTTTATCAGCAGAAATACTTCAGGATATTTCAGCAAAGATTGTGCACATATTTCACCCGTGACGTCCTTCAAATGCATGAAAAATGTGCTTAACTTGGCATCAAATTCAGCAAAATGTCAGTTTGTTAAATGTCTGTTTGCATATGTAAGATGACACAAATCACACAAATCCACCTCTTTCTCCTCAGAGTCTTTGTTTCCCCACTTCCTGCACTTATTCATGTTTTTTGTCTTCGTTCTGAAGCTGAAAATCTCGCAGACTGTGACTTCAGCAAACAGCACATGTTTCTGAAGGGGTGCTGTGAGGATTTTGTCTGTTACCACAGCAAGAACAGTCGAACGGGAACAGCGGGAGAGGAGCCGAGTTGGAAACGATGGCAGAGGCTGGAAAACGTCCACATGAAACTGGCAGAAACGGCTTCTTCTTCTTGGGATTTTGACCTTTTTGCACACAAAATCAAATCAAATCAAATCAAATCAAATCACTTTTATTGTCACATCACATGTGCAGGCACACTGGCACAGCACATGCGAGTGAAATTCTTGTGTGCGAGCCCCACAAGCAACAGAGATGTGCAAACACAACAACACAAACGAGCAAAATACAAGAATGGCCAACCTGAAACTAATAAATATATGTACAATATATAATAGTGTATGCATTTCTGGATGTGTATACTAAATATTTTCCTACGTGTGTGTGTGTGTGTGTGTGTGTGTGTGTGTGTGTGTGTGTGTGTGTGTGTGTGTGTGTGTGTGTGTGTACACATTTTTAGAAATTAAATAGTAAAAAAAACTAAAATAAAATAAAATAATAATAATAATAATAATAATATTAATAATAAAATATATAAAATATACAGAGTGAGACGTGCAAAACAGTGGCATTACTGTACAGTATGGAGTGCATAATGTTGAAGTTCCAGTAGTGAAGCTGAGGTGTCTATGACGTGTTCAGCAGTCTGATGGCCTGGTGGAAGAAGCTGTCTCTCAGTCTGCTGGTACAGGACCGGATGCTGCAGATCCTCCTTCCTGATGGAAGCAGTCTGAACAGTTTATGGCTGGGGTGACTGGAGTCCTTGATGATCCTCCCCGCTTTCCTCAGGCACCGCTTCCTGTAGATGTCTTGGAGGGAGGGAAGCTCACCTCCAATTATCCGTTCAGAGCACCGCACTACTCGCTGGAGAGCTTTGCAGTTGTAGGCGGTGCTGTTGCCATACCAGGTGGTGATGCATCCAGTGAGGATGCTCTCAATGGCACAGTGATAGAAGGTCCTGAGGATGCGGGGGCTCATGCCGAATCTTTTCAGTCTCCTGAGAAAGAAGAGGTGCTGCTGCGCCTTCTTCACTGTTTTGTTTGTGTGTACTGACCACGTAAGATCCTCAGCCAGATGTACGCCAAGGAACCGGAAGCTGCTCACTCTCTCCACAGCAGCGCCGTTGATGGTGATGGGGGTGTGTACTTCTCTGCACCTCCGGAAGTCCACTATCAACTCCTTTGTCTTTGCGACGTTGAGTGTGAGATGGTTGTCTTGACACCAGTGGGTCAGGGCGCTGACCTCCTCCCTGTAAGCCGTCTCATCACCGTTGGTGATAAGACCCACCACTGTAGTGTTGTCCACAAACTTCACGATGATGTTGGAGCTGTTAGTGGCTGTGCAGTCGTAGGTGTAGAGTGAGTACAGGAGAGGGCTCAGTACACACCCCTGTGGAGCACCAGTGTTCAGTGTGATGGGGGATGAGGTGATGCTGCCCAGTCTGACCACCTGGCGTCTGTCAGACAGGAAGCTAAGGATCCAGCTGCAGAGGGAGCTGCTCAGTCCTAGATCCTGCAGTTTCCTGTCCAGCTTCGAGGGAACGATGGTATTGAATGCTGAGCTGTAATCTACAAACAGCATCCTCACATACGTGTCTCTCTTCTCCAGGTGTGACAGGGCAGTGTGTAGTGTCCAGAGATGGGCAGTAAGGCGTTACTTGTAACGCGTTACTGTAATCTGATTACTTTTTTCAAGTAACGAGTAAAGTAAGGGATTACTATTGCAAAATCGGTAATTAGATTACCGTTACTTTCCCGTAGGAACGCTGCGTTACTGCGTTACTAAAACCGTGATTTTTTTTGCGAGAATGTCTCATGACAGTGACGTAAGCAAGTGCGACGTTGGTGACAGCAGCTGTGTGCAGATCAACAATGGATAATATATCGAGTGCGGGAGAGAGTATGAGCGTGCAGCGTTTAAAGTGTGGAAGTACTGACCTTACTTTGAGTTTGATTCCATAAAAAGTGACAAAAATATTAGCGTCCATCGTGCGTGGGAAGAAAACTTCTTTTTACAGCGAAAAAAACCCCTAAACTTCCGAGCAAGCACCGAGTAGCTACGACGTGATGGGAAACTCACAGAGACACTCGCGCGGATTCTTCAACTGACCGCAGCACACCTGCACCAGGGTAACCCTCCGCCTACCCTGCTCCTGCTTTACAGGTGAAAATAGAGCAAAAGGACCGCTGAGTCTTTGACTTTATTTATTTTCTGTTGTTTTACTTGCATCTGTTTGAAAGAGTGAGTGAAAACACAAAAAATATTTTATTTTATGTGCTGGAATGTGTAGAAAATAGGTTTAAATGTTAAACTAATTTATTCAAGTCAGAGAATGTTGCATATAATTAAATGTTTTGCTTGATGCATAAAGTTAAAAGATTAAAACTGATAAAACAAGTTAAAAAAAGAGACTTTTCCATTTGATTACATTTTGTATGATGGATTATGTAGAAAAAGTAGAATTGGGCTGAAAGATCTATCACTTTATCACCTCTTCAGGTTGTAAATCGTGTTTTTAAAAAGTAACTAAGTAACTAAGTAATTAATTACTTTTGAAAATAAGTAATCAGTAAAGTAACGGGATTACTTTTTGGGGGGAGTAATCAGTAATTAGTTACTGATTACTTTTTTCAAGTAACTTGACCAACACTGGTAGTGTCAGGGCTATGGCATCATCAGTGGACCTGTTGTGGCGGTATGCAAACTGTAGAGGGTCCAGTGAGTCGGGTGGTGCAGAACAGATGAAGTCCCTGACCAGCTTCTCGAAGCATTTGCTTACGATGGGGGTCAGGGCTACAGGTCGCCAGTCGTTCAATGAGGAGATGGTGGAGGATTTGGGTACAGGGACGATGGTGGCCATTTTGAAGCAGGCTGGGACTACAGACAGAGAGAGGGAAAGGTTGAAGATGTGCGTGAACACTCCAGCCAGCTGAGCCGCGCATGACCTGAGGACGCGGCCGGGAATCCCGTCCGGACCAGTAGCTTTGCGTGCGTTCACCTTCCTGAAGCACTTCCGCACATCCTCCTCAGACACAGTGTGCGCACTGACGTCATCCGCGGTGCGCACACTGTCCGGTCTCATGGTGTTCGCTGTGTCGAATCTAGCGTAGAATACGTTTAGATCCTCACACAGAGAGGCCGTGGTCTGCGGTGTGCTGGTTTTCCCTCTAAAGTCTGTGATCGTGTTTAGTCCCTGCCACATACTCCGAGGGTTGTCAAACTGTTGTTCCACCCTGTCCCTGTACTCACGTTTGGCTGCTTTGATCGTCTTCCGGAGTTGGTAATGTGCGTGTTTGTAGTCCGATGTGTTCGCGGAGGCAAAGGCGGTGTTCCGTGCCGCCAGTGCCGCGCGAACATCTCCGTTAATCCAGGGTTTTTGATTTGGGAAGGATTTGACTGTTCTGGATGGGACGACATCTTCCACGCATTTCCTGATAAATCCACAGACTGAGTCTGTGTATTCATCAATGTCTCTGGCGGCCACGTGAAACATTTCCCAGTCCGCGTTGTTTTGAAGGGAGGAAGGTTCAGGGCTGAAGCAATCAGCTTCATGGGCTCATCCGGTTAGAATAAGAAAAGCAGCCATCTAATGCAGAATTATTTTCAGGGTACTCCTTTTATTCTCAAATAAATAAGGCAAAAAAGGAAGGAAACAAAGACACACATGGACTGCCAATGCTGAAAGAAAACAGATTCAAGTTACTCATTACCTTAACATTACATAAAATAAAAACCCAAACAGAACCTCACCTCAGCTGCCGCCCCGTGTGGAAGTGCGGAAAGAGTGAGCCAAAAGTGAATGCAGTCCTTATATACTGTGTGACATATAATGTGTGACAGGTGAGTGCAATCAAGGACAAGCACCACACCCAATCAAAGGTGAGAGAACTAAACAAGGTGCATCTGGTGAAGTGAGTGGGTGTGCTGGGATGTGCTAAAAGGTGGGTCTCTACAACAGCCGCCCCCATATTTCTAGTGAGAAATATGTTGATATGATCAGGATCAGTCTTCGTCAGGAAGCGAGGGCAGGGGGATCAGACAGGAGACAGGGCGGATATAGGTTTTATCCTGTACTAAGACCTCCACAGTTCTGATGTGGTCATCTGGGCTTTTCAGCAAGCGTGTCACTCTTCCTACAGGCCAAAGGGCTCGTGGAAGGTGTGAATCCATAATCATGACGACAGAGTTCAATGTGAGATCTGGTTTTTCCTTCTGCCATTTGGGTCTTCTTTGGAGGGATGGTAGATAGTCTCTTATGAAGTGTCGCCAGAAGTGATCTGCCAATATTTGTGCATGTCGCCATCGTCGTCGGCCTAGGAGGTCAGAATCAGAATAGGATACCAGGGGGAGTGATGAATCATGTCGGCCCATAAGGAGAAGGTTTGGGGTTACGGGGTCAATGTCCGCAATGTCTGAGGATACATAGCCTAGGGGTTTTGAGTTAAGAATGCCTTCAATCTCAATTAGGACTGTTCTTAAGACCTCTTCAGTGACCATCTGTGCACCAATGGTTCTCTTCAGAGCATTCTTCACAGAATGTATCTCCCTCTCCCAGGCTCCACCGAAATGGGGTGCATGCGGGGGATTGAATTTGAAATGGATTCTTTTAGTCATCAGGACCGGCTGTAGAGTCGGAGCAAGGTTGTTAAAAGCTGCCCGTAGTTCCTTATCTCCTCCTTTGAAGTTAGTTCCTTGATCACATATAATTTCCAGGGGTGTTCCTCGTCGAGAAATGAATCGTTGGAGGGCCATGAGGAAGGAGTCTGTATCCATACTGTTTAGGAGGTCAAGATGTATACACCGAGTGGTGAGACATTTGAATATTATTCCCCACCTTTTCTCCGATCTGCGGCCTGTCTTGACCTTGTATGGTCCAAAGCAGTCTATTCCTGTGGAGTAGAAAGGTGGTTTGAATAACCTAAGACGAGCAGCAGGCAAGTCTGACATTTTTGGAATGATGGGCTGTGCTCTCCATTTCTGACATGCGACGCAGCTATACCGATGCCTGCGTACGGCTTCCCTTCCTCTGAGAATCCAGAATTTCCGACGTAGTTCAGCAAAAAGTCTTTCTGAACCAGCATGATGCAGTTTGTCATCATAATTTTGTATGATCAGTTTGGTCACTGGATGAGCAGGATCAAGTACTATTGGGTGAATGACATTCAATTCCAAGTCTGGGCTTTGCCGTAGTTGGCCTCCTACATGGATAAGTCCAGAATTCCTGCACAACACTGGTGACAAACACAATAGACGGCTGTCAGATGAGAGGGGTTTGTCTGACTGTAAACGGGCTAAATCTTCACCAAAACTGTCCAGTTGTGCCTGACGAAGGATTTCTTGTTCTGCTGTTTGATAATCAGCTGCAGAAGGAATGTTACCCTTTTGGTTGGAGAGTGAACGAGCCGTGAAATCCAATAGCTCTTGATAGGTTCTGAAGCTAGGTGTGTATGTATGGGAGAGTATACTGACAATACCAAAGAAGTAGGATTTCTTTAACTCAGTCTGATCATCATCAGGATGGAGATCTGTAACTGTGGGCCAGTTATTTGGAGGTTCATGCAGAAACGAGGGACCCTCAGTCCACCTGTTTGGGCTAAGGAACTCTTTCAGGGATTACCTCTCGTAACATCATCAGCAGGATTTGTGGCTGAATTGATGTATCTCCAGTCTTGACTGTTTGTGAGGTTTTGAATTTCTGAGACTCTGGCTCCTACGAATACCTTGAAACGGCAGGAATCTGACTGAAGCCAGTGAAGTACAGTTGTCGAGTCAGACCAAAGGGTGGTAGTCCTGACTGGTAAGGTGAGTTCTGTTTGTATAAGCTCACTGAGGCGTGCACCTAGTAGGGCTGCACATAGCTCCAGTCTGGGTATTGTTAAATGCTGTTTAGGAGCAACACGTGAGCGAGCTAACAAGAAACTCAGTTCTACATGGCCTTCAAGATCATCTGATCTCAAATAGGCGACAGCACCATATGCTCGCTCCGAAGCGTCACAGAAGATATGAATGTCTCGAACTGTAGTAGAAACGTCCATTTCTTTAGAAGTATAGCAACGTGGGATGGCAATTTGTGGGAGATAACAAAGTTCTTCTTCCCAGGACTTCCATGCCTCTAAGAGGTTGTGTGGAAGGGAAGGGTCGTCCCAATCTCTCTCTTTTCTCCATAGCTCTTGCACCAAGGTTTTGGCGCGTGTTGTGAATGGGAGTAAGTAGCCTAAGGGGTCATACAGACGAGCAAGTACTGCATAGATACGACGCATTGTGGTGGGGTGTGAGGCTAGAGTTCTGTATTTATAGGCAAACAAATCAGTCTCACAATTCCACAATAATCCTAATGTGCGTTCATGTGGGCCAGATGGCTTGTCTTCAGTCAGGCAAAGTTCATTACTTGCCGTTCTTACCTCAGATGGTAGATGGCTAATCACAACAGGATTATTGCTGGCCCACTGGCGAAGGTCGAAGCCTCCTTCTGATAGATGGTTTCTTAATTTGTCTAGGAGTGTTCGAGCTAACTCTGCTGATGGAAAACTCTGCAAGCAGTTATCAACATAGAAACACTGCATTACTGAAGACTGCACATCTTTGTCAGATTGATATTCCTTCACATGTTTCTGCAGTGCATAGATTGCACAACAAGGGCTGCAGGTCGTGCCAAAGGGGAGTACCTGCCACTCATACACTGAAGGGGGAGCTGCTTTGTTCATGTCACGCCACAGGAATCGGAGGAGTGGTTTATCAGGAGGCAGAAGACTGACTTGGTGAAACATGCCTTTGATGTCGCCACTTATTGCTACTGAATGTTGCCTAAAACGCAACAAAACACCAAGAAGTGTTGGGCCTAGGATTGGTCCTGGCAATAGGTACTTATTGAGACTCTGACCTTGAAATGTGAAAGAGCAGTCAAAGACTATGCGATCTTTATTGTTGTGACTTGTCATATGATGAGGGATATACCAGGTTTCTTTGCTATTGTGCATCTCCTCTGGGCTAAGTTTGACTATATAGCCTGCTTGCTCCAATTTCAAAATCTGATCCTTGTAAGACATGGCTTTGCCAGGATCTTTAGCTAACCGAGCCTCAGTGTTGCGGAGTCTAGACATGACTACATTTGGAGGGACATTCAAAGGAGGAAAGTTTGCCATCCGAAGAAGAGGAGTGGCGTAGCGATTAACACCATTGATCTCAACCCTTTTTGTGGCCTGTTCAAGGAGTTCCAGTGCCAGTTGATCTTGCTTTGATCGGATCACAGATTTCTCACTGTATTCAGGTAAAGTGTCTAGTTGCCATAGCTTCTCAACATGATAACGCAGTACATCTGCAGATGAACTGAGAGATGTAAACAAACACTGCACATGCTCTGTACTGCTCCGGGGCTGAAAATCTGTGATCGGGCCTTGAAGTGTCCATCCTAATTGGGTTTTAACTCCTGCAGGAGACCCATATGGTCCCTGTCTCAATGGAGCAGTAGGCGTGATGAGGTGAGTATGATCTGAGCCTATGAGCAGGAGTGGCGCTGCTTTATTAATAATGGGTAATGGGATACCTTGAAGATGCTTGTATCTCCGTTGGAGAGATGATACAGGGTAGGTGTGGTCTGAAAGTGCTAGGTGATTTGCAGTGAAGGCATTAGTAATTGTGTAGGTTTTCTCTGGGTGTGCGATGGGTGAGATTTTGAAACTTACGGAAGAACCATGAATAGTTTCAACTTCTTGACGGACCGTTCTAAGTGATAATCTCTCTGCTTCCCCAGTTAGGTTGAGATGCTGTGCAGCTGATGTCAGAAGAATGGTACGCTGGGAGCCATCGTCAAGTACTGCATATGTTTCAAGGGTTCTTTTGCCATTTCGCAGGAGCACTTTCACGACCTTTAAAAGGACACTAGGACAATCACTAGGTCTATCAAAGTACAGTGTCCTCACTATAGGATTAGTGTCAGTTTTAGATCTCTTATTTACATCACATAGGATCTGGAGATGTAGTCCCATACAGGTGGCACATGCTTTCTTCAGGTCACACTTTGCGGCCTGATGATTCCTAGCACAACGCCAACACCGTTTGTTTACTTTTATCCAGTTTGTTTTCTCATCCTTTGTCTTCTGAATAAACCCAGGACACTTACTAATGTGATGTTCTGGTGAGCAGCAATATGCACATGTAGCCTTAGTTGTCATGATCGGCTGTGTTGCATGTACAGAATCATCAGATGTATTTGCTTCATGTAATATTGTTGTAAGTGGAGAAGCGTACTTACGGGCAGGTCGTGTCTGGTTGAAGGATGGAACAGGACTGGCCTTCTTTGGTTGACACCTGCATTCCATTTGCAACCAGGATGAGAACAAAGGCAAGGTATACATCATTTCTCCCTGTTCCCTGTAAACATGCCGTTTGAAGCGACTGAAATGCTCTGCAGGCAACTTCACTAACAAGCGATCGACATGGGAGCCACAGTCTAGTTCTGCACGTCCTTGTTCTCCCATAGTGCTAAGCAACCCAACTAAAGCCTGTACTCGAAGAGCAAAATTATCAAGGCTCTGACCATCACCTGCTCTGATAGGAGGCAGTTCCAGTATATTCTTTAGCTCTTTCAATGCCAGCTGTCTTGGTTGCCCATAACGCTCATCAAGGGCTTTGATGGCTTGAGTGTATGGGTCAGGAGCGTAGGAAAAGGCAAGAGCTAATCGTTTAGCTTGGTCTACTTTGAGGTGATCAAGAAGGACATGATATTTGAAGTGCTCTGTCTCATGAGGATCAAGAAGGTTTGTAAGGGCCATCCGTAACATCCTGTATTGCATTTCGTCTTCTCTACTAAGGTCTGGAAATGAAGGACCTTCAAGCTTATATACATGTGTTCTCGTGCTAGAGGAGTGACCCGAGCTAGCAGTACCAGATATCAAAGGTTTCTGTTCATATGAGGTATTGGATGTAGCTGGTTGCTGCTCTAGAGGAGGGCAATGCTTGTGGTCAGATATGCGAATGAGAGGTTGAACAGGGTCTTCAGCTAAAGGAATAGCAGGTTGAACACATGAGATCTGGTCGGGATCCTGCCGTGATAAGGCCAGGAAATCAAAGGGAGTCTCATCTTCTGTAGCAAGGACTGGTCTAGGCAAACCAGTTGAAGGGATAGCAGCATCTAGTATTGTTGAATTAGGTAAAGGATGGCTGGCAGCTGTAACTAAGCCAGACTGACGGCTAATCTGCGGGGGCTGGAAGGGTGATTGACAGGTTACTGTATCAATCACTGGGAGCTGCTCATGTTGTTGATGTGTTTGAGGACTGGCTCGTAAACTGCATACAGAAGCTTTGATTCCATCAGATGAGACTGTGCGAATGGAAGATCTGGAGCTACGAGAATGGGAAGGAGATGATTGAATCATAAATTGCTTAATCTCCCTCATGGTCGTTAGGAGTTCCCTCATGACCTCATCTTGGGTGGTGGGTAAAGGAACAAGGGATGTCTCTGGTGGTCTTTCTGACTCTCCGACAGGATCCTGCAGCCCATGTGTGTCTTTATCACTGTGCTGACATTCAGTTTGGCTCTCTGTCTCACATGTAGCTCTTCTAGCTCCAGGGTACTGAACTTCATACTGTTGCAGGTAGGCAGGAGGTCTACTATCACGACTGGATGTTCTAAATGGCTGCTGTGTATCCATGATGCTAATACCTCTCCGGCTCGGAGGACCATGTTTTGAAGGGAGGAAGGTTCAGGGCTGAAGCAATCAGCTTCATGGGCTCATCCGGTTAGAATAAGAAAAGCAGCCATCTAATGCAGAATTATTTTCAGGGTACTCCTTTTATTCTCAAATAAATAAGGCAAAAAAGGAAGGAAACAAAGACACACATGGACTGCCAATGCTGAAAGAAACAGAGATTTAAGTTACTCAGTACCTTAAACAATACATAAAATAAAAACCCAAACAGAACCTCACCTCAGCTGCCGCCCCGTGTGGAAGTGCGGAAAGAGTGAGCCAAAAGTGAATGCAGTCCTTATATACTGTGTGACATATAATGTGTGACAGGTGAGTGCAATCAAGGACAAGCACCACACCCAATCAAAGGTGAGAGAACTAAACAAGGTGCATCTGGTGAAGTGAGTGGGTGTGCTGGGATGTGCTAAAAGGTGGGTCTCTACAACACGCGTGATCAAAACAGTCCCGCAGCGCAGACTCCGATTGGTCTGTCCAACAGTGCACCGCCCTCCGGGTTGGAGCTTCCTGTTTCAGCTTCTGCCTGTAGGCGGGCAGGAGCAGGATGGAGCAGTGATCTGATTGGCCGAATGGGGCGCGGGGGAGGGCTTTGTACGCATCCCGGAAAGAGGTGTAACAGCGGTCGAGTTGCCGGTTTCCACGTGTGTTGAAAAGGATGTGTTGATGGAGTTTTGGTGAGACTTTCTTCAGGTTTCCCTTCCCAAAAGGTCAACATGATGTAAAGCTTCCACATCAGTGCGGTGACAGAGTTATTCACTGCACTGAATTCACGTCCCAAGTATGATTTTTCTCTTTTTAATGTTCTGAATTTGTTTATTGAGCATCAGGTTGGAACAGAAGAAATAAAAGCCTTTCATCACTTTGCTCACGTTTTCTCTGGAACCACTTTCAGCCGTGTTTGTGGTAACAGTTCAATTTTATATATGCACCACAGTGAACACGATTTTATGCATTTTTATTTTACAGAAGTTGTCTTTTGGCAGCAGATTCGGAGTGTTTATCCAAAGTCAGCATTTTTCAGAGTAAGTTTAATCGTTATGAAGCAGCAGAGCCCAAAGAAAGTTGTTTTAGTGCCTAAAATGTAACGTTTAAGTCCTTTAAAATGTGATTTTTGAAATCACTACTTTATTTTTTATCAGCAAATATTCTTTGAGAGCGTAATTAAGGACCAGCGTGGATACATCTTAACTACAGATGTGTTTTACTGATGCTGGAATACCCCTGACTCGTCTCCTCAGCCTGAATGTCTGTTTCAAGACTTCCTCGGTCACTGTTTATGAATGGACCTCGATTTTTTTAGCTAAATCTCTGTCGGGGGATAACAGAGTCCTCTGCCAATGCATTTTTGTTGAAGAAATCTTTTGTTTGCTTGTCGCATGATCTTTGTTCTGGTATCAACCTGCCCAAAGTGACCGTCCACTTGTGCGAGCAGCGCTCGACCGTGTTTCCAGGTGTTTCCTTTGCTGGTTGAGTTTCTCGTGTTTTAAAGGTGAGACGGAGCTTTTTTTTAATCACTGCAGCACACGGACGCTAAACACTTCAGGAGAATCACTTTCTGCGTGGACGTTAAGCTCAGGATCAGGACGTTTTCACATCATCTAATGAATGCAGCAACATGTTAGTGACCAACCTCAGACTGAAGTTTGGTACGTTTACGGCATCGTCTTCCTCGCTGTTTGTCTCCCCATCAGCACCAGCTTCCCTGCTGGTGTGTTTAGATAAACCCAGTCACACATTATTATAAGTCAGCTAACTCGACTTCAGTAACTCTCTAAACTTGGCTGCTGTTTAGTTTTCTTTCTCCGTTAATGTGCAGGGTTAATTGTAACAGCTGGATGGACAGACACTGATCGTTTTATTAGAGCTGAAGGAGTTTGGACCATCTTTAAGTCTCAGCTGTTTGATTTCAGGGACTGGAGGAACATTTGGATCCTGAAGTGAGAAACGATGCCAGACAAAACTTCACCACAAATGGAAACCAAGATTTTGTCTCGAGATTAAGAAATTCTCTACTTACATGTAAATATCTGTTTTTAGTTATTTAAAATTGTTTCTCTTCATTTTATATTCAAAACGTTATTTCTGCTTGAGTATGTTTACTTGGCGAGTTACTGTTTTTCTCTGCAGTTTCCAAGCTGTAAAATCAGCCGAATATGTCGTCAGCACCAGGTAGGCTGTAAATCTCTGCGGTGGGATGGGAGCATATGGTGGGAGGAATAATCTGACGACAGCCAAGCTTCAGTTTAAACCCCAAACAGGCGACCAAAGCTGAAGAAGCTTAGAGAGAAATTAAGACAAAACCTTCAGAGAGCGAGTCACAAAACAGCACTTCCATTAGTTTTTCACCTACTGTCTCTAGAATACAGAGCAGAGCATCTTTCTAATTACCGAGCCACCTGTTTGTTTTACACAGTCTGTTAGCTGAAGTTTTATTTTTAACACATGGCAGATGTCTTCAAACCATCAGCCTGAATAAAGTCGAAATCCAACAATGGAAAGCAGAAGCAGGAATCTGTTTTTTAGGAACAAACGCACAAACCACACTAAGGAAGCTCACAAGCTTGTGAACGTTTCCCTCTGAAGCTGTTTGTGAAGCTCCTGTTAAACGAGCAGATTTGTGCAACGCCTCCTCTGCAGCGTGTGCAGCCGTGAGTGAAACTGTGCAGACGTTTGAACGTGTCGTCAGGGTTTTGTTCTGTTTGTCCTCTTTATTTATTTCTTATAAAGGAACAGCAGGAACAAGGATGGGCTCGTACATGTTATCATCAGGATGAAAGTCTTGATATTTTGGTTTCCACGTCAACTGGAGATAAAACACATCCTAAAAGTATCAAATAAGTTCAAGGTCAGAGGTCACATTTTCTGAAAATCTTGTAAATGCAATAACTCAAGAAGGCACCTGAGCTTTTCAAATTGATGCCACAGGTGCGTTTAGTGGGAGACTGAGGGCTTTAAAAACGTTGGGGGTCATGCATCTGTTAAAAGCGCTGTAACTCATCTAAAGCCACAAACACTTGGACCCGAGGCTGAGCATCATCACTTAATGAGCTGATACAAAACACCAGGAGACAGATGCTGCTGTGAAGTGGCCCCTGAAACATGGAAGTGTTAAGACAACAGTGTAAACCACACACACACACACAAACACGCACACGTTAGTAATTGATATGTTGTGGGGACACCTAATCGACATAATGCTTTTGACTACAGCTGGGTATCGTCACTGATTTCTAGAATCGATTCAATTCCGATTCACAAGGTCCCGAATCGATTCGATCCACGATTCGATTTAATTCGATTCGATTTGAATCTGGGAAATTTTGACAGTCAGAATTATAATTCAGATCAGTACATTTACATATTTTTGTATCTATGAAAAGGAAGCTGACACATGCAAGACTTTATCAAAGGTGTGAGCGTCACAGCAGAGGCCTTTGTGTCAAAGTAGCTGAAGATAACACAGAAAAACATGAAGGAGATTTTCCTGTTCTGGGATTTTATAAAAATATTCTGCAGTAGATCAAAAACGAAAGAAAACCATTAATCAACACATGATTGTAATCTGAAGTTACAGCGGTTTTATTAGAGACACGGCTGAGCATTTTGCATTTTGCATAATTTTAAAAAGTTTAAATTTGTTCAGTATTGAACGGCAGAAATTAGGTTTTCTTTTCAGATGTAAAACAAACAAAAACAGCGGCTGACAGCCTGTAAACAACGGTAGACTTGTGCGTAACAAGCAAGCGAATATTGCAGAAAACAGACAGACAGAGAGAGACAGAGAGAGGGGGAGAGAGAGAGCTGTGCATCGTGGTGGAAGCAAAACAGCAAAAGTCAGAGTGAGTTCATGACGATGTTGATGTGAAGCGTAGTTTGGATCTTCTTTTGCTGCTGGTTCGGTCAATGTTGTTTGGAGAGACATCAAACTAACAGCTTTAGAATCAGCGCAAAAAGGGCGTAAACACACCTGCCGACAGATCAGAATCAGCGAGCTGTCAGCTTTCAGCTGTGACATGTGAGAAAGTCACATGTCACTGATTCTGATCCGCGGTCAGAGCTTTGTGTTTACGTCTTTGTGCAGAAGCCGTGTTCCTGCTCTCATTCACTGGTTGTTGAAGTTTTGAGGTTTCACCTGAGATTCTGGCATTTCGGGCAAAATAAATTTATATAAAAAAATCGATTCAGGATTTTAAAGAATCGATTTTACGTTATCCAAGCCAGAATCGATTTTAATCGATAAATCGATTATAAAAACCCACCCCTACTAAAACCACATTTTGAGTCTGAAGAATGTCTTCAAACTTGTAGGGACCTGGACTTTGGTCCCTACAAAGAGATGCAACAACAATTTTCCTTGTTTTTCTCTAAACCTCGGAGCAGCTCTGGCAGTAAACCTTCACTGCTCTACATTCACCTGCTGGGCCACCGAGGTTAAGTGCCTTGCTCAGGAGTCATTAATATGAGTCGAGGTCTGTATGGGACTTTGAGCAGGCGGACATTAGTCCGGGTGTCAGCTTCTGCCAGCGTTGGCTCAGTGTCAGCGTGACGTGAAATAAATCAGGGAAGACTTCTTTATCTCAGCTCTGGTCTCTCCTTCCACATCTTCTGAAAAGTCTTTAACCTCGTCCGGGAAACTAATCAGCAGAGCTGTGAGTGATTTAGAACAGGCTCGTTCCACTCTGCCGTCTGGCAGGCGGTGATAGCACCCGGGAGAGCTGTTACAGCTGCTGGCGTGGAACCGACCATGTCCAACGGCGCTACTGAAGACTCCTCTGCTGCTGCTGCTGCCTCCACGTCAGAAAAATGTGCACGTGATGGAGAGACGACAAACCGACAGCAGCAGGATGAAAGGCAGCGTGCCAAATAGGTCCACCTTGGTGGAGCGCCAGCGGAGGCCAAAATGAAGCCGTGGGCCAATATGTGCAGTGTAAATATTAATCCAGTCAGCGAGGAGGGTTTAATGACTCGTGTTTGGGCCCGTTTATACAACCAGCTCAGGTTTCGCTCACGTGGTGACACAGAGGTGATGAAATGTGTGAGCGGGGCTGGAACCTTGCTACACAACGCCATTAAGAGGAAGTATCAGTCAGATGTTGTTTAGATGCTTTAAAGATGGACACAAAAATCTGTCATTCAGTTTGGAGTGACCGCACAGCTCCGATCAGGAGGAAAGTCGGTCATCAGAACAACAGGACAGATCTGGTTCAAAATGTCACATCTGCTGTTTGCTACA